GCGGATAAATTTTTTTTTCATTATCTTTTCCTTTTCGGGTTCGATTTCCAGCCTCTTAGTGTCGTCTCGAGTGTTCGAAAATGGTTTCTGAGACTCTTTCCTTTGGATTGACAACTTCTTTTAAGGACCGAGTCATTTCCACATTTTTTTGTTTTTTGACACTATTCATTTTCCGTCTTTTCCTTATTTCGTCCTCTTCTCGTTTTTCACTTTTACTTACATAACCTCATTTTTTATGCTCGGATTTGATTCCGGTTTTGCATACGTTCATGATATTTAAATTCCATGACATCTACATTTTTACTTTTGTAGAAATGCATATTAAATGCTTACTTTCTTTGTAAAAGTCATGAAAACAAGACTTTTTGCAATTATCCATAACTTGAGAGGTTTTTGGGTAATTAAATAAAGTAATTATTTTTCGTCTTAGGGACCATTTTGCAAATTAAATTGAAAGATATTTTTAAAAAGGACCTTTTTGTAATTTTCGAAAAATGTGACAAGTGTCACATTCCTATGGTGCCACTTGTTGATTTTGTAGTGGAACCACTTGGAGGCTTAATCTCATGACACATGAAGGTTGGAGATTCACCCACTTGTTGTCCTAGGATTGGTGCACTTGTTGTCATGGATGGTTGACAAGTGTAGGGTTAATATTTAATCTTGGAAGCTTACTTGGATTCATGACAAGTGTAGGATTCACATTTAGTCTTGCATTAATGTGTGTGTGAGAGGTAGTGCAAGAGCACCTAATGAGTGGAGAAGCCCACCAATTTAGCTTAGGGTTTACACATTTTAATTCATTTATCACTTTCCTCTCAAGAGCCCTAAGGAAGCCACCATTGGAGAAAAGCTTGACTAGTAGCTTTGACTTCATTTTTGGTGCCCTTTCATTCACCTTAGAACTTTGAACTTGGAATATTTTTTGTTCCCCTCATCCTCCTCTTCAAAACCCTTGAAGGATCTAGTCTAACTCCTAGTTTTACTTTGGTATCTAGAAATTCAATTCTCTAGTAAGGTATTGATCTATTATTTTGAAGTATTTTTATGTCATTATTGAGTGTTTTACACGCATGGAAGAGAAGGACTTGTATTTTTTCCTTAAACTATTTTAACTTGAAATTAATCTTGTCAAATTAAATATATAATATGAAAATATACTCAATTAGCTTTCATTTAGTTTTGGTTTCACATAATTTGGATTTAAAATGAATTAGTTATGAATTTTTGAAGTTGCAAGCTAGTTGCTGGAAATTTGAAGCTTTTCCTTTTCAGTCCGGAAATGAATTTTTTATATAGAGTTGTGATACTTCAATTGCCTTGAAATTTTTACTGGAACTTCTTCCATGGGTTTTACACTACTTAGAATTTTTTCACGATTTTAGAGCATTTTTAATTTTTTTTTAAAATCCGAAACTATCTGCTGTCCATGTTTTTATTGCAGCTGGAAAACATATTTTTAGATGATTTATTTCACTAACCTTTTGACATTGGATCATGGCTTAAATCTCCAATTTTACACTCTCATATGTTTACTTCCAAAATAAATTAGTTTTACCCAATTTGGATGTCAAATGAATTTTTCATGAATTTTCAAAGTTGGAAGCTACAGGCTGAAAATGTGTTTTCTGGGCAGAAATTGTTTCAAAGTTGTGGGGCAAAACTGTTTCAATTGGGAAGATATTTTGTTAAAATAAATTTATATTATCAAATTAAAGTGTTTAAGCTTTCATTGGGCTTTGGATTCATTCAATTTGGGTTAGAATTAAATTTTTTATGAATTTTACAAGTTGAAGGTAGCAAGCTGAAAAATCTGTTTTGCGGACCGAAAATTTGGGGCGATTTCATTTCAGTGGTAATTGAGATTTTCATTCCAATTAAGGTAGGAAATATTTTAGGATTATTTGTGTGTTGTATTGTGTGTTTGCCATGATTATACAACATATATGTATGCCTTGTATCAAATCTAGAAAGTTAGTAATTTTTATTTCTTCGTATAAGATTTAAAATTTATGATGATGTATAACTTTGATTTGAATTGTAACATGCTAGGAAATTATGCTTAGATATGTTGGTTAACATATATTAAATTTGGATCATTTGATTAAGAATTACAACTTTTATTTAATATTTATCTTTAGTGAAAGTTTAATTCACATGGTTGTATCAAGCATTAAATCAAGTTGTAATGTGGTATTTAAATAGGCCTTGCCATGTTCTCTAACATAGATTAAATTGAGGGCATTTGGAATTGTTTAAAAATCTAGAGGAAATTAATTAATTAGCTTGATTAATTTTGTTTTAAGTGTTTTAATCACTTAACTTGTCATTTGATGTTATATATATGATGACCATGACATGTCTTTCAATATATATTAAATTGAGGTTATTTGGATTAACTTGGAATTTAGAGAATTTAACTATTTATGTTTAATTAAATTCTACTTTATTACTCCATGGATTTAATTGCAATTTGGAAGTTGTTTCTATATTTAAATCATGGATTTGGATTTGATGTATGTTCACTTGATTACTTTTGAGCATTGGATAACATAGTTGTTATTTTTATATTCATGAGAATATGTTTTTCCTTATTGAATATATTGTTGCTATGTGTAAGGAATTGCACACTTTGTATTTGACATCTTACATGCCATAGTAGTTGTGAATTTTGAGCATGTATTGTATAAGTTTCCAAAATTTGGATTGTGCTTGGTAAATAGTTGATATCATGTATATGCATGTTGATATATATACGTTGTTGCACAATTTGTTGATTTTGGAAATTTGGGGATGTCGTTGTTTGGCTACGGCTAGGACTTGGTTCTAGTTTAGGGGATTGTCCCTCTATATAGTCTAGTGCGCACATAGGGAGGTTACCTATGGGCTAGTAACCCTAAAGTAACTATGTTGTCGGTCTGATCTGGCGTGACGTCCGAGTATCCACTTTGTTTGATTTCGTATTTCATTTCAAGTTGATAACTAGATGATATCGTAACTTGTTGTTCCTTATTTGATTTCTTTTATTGAGCTTAAGATGTAGCTTTGTGAAAGTATGCTTCATGCGTTGTATTGGAAGTTCCATTGTTGGTTAAATTGCATCGATATCATAATTTGTGTTTTAATGTTCAAATATAGTTTAGGAATGACCTTATAGATTCATTTTAAACATAGACGTTAGGTGGCATGACCCACACTTGTTGTTTTCGTATTTTGGATTTCAAGTTGAAGACTTTGAGAATCTATATCTTGTTGCCTTGTATAACATGTTTCCATGTTGTTTGAATTGCATGAACAATGTGATTATGATATAAATGATCTAGGTAGTTTAGGATGCTCCCTGGGTCTCATCTTGACATAGACGTTAGGTGGCATGAGCCCCTTTAACATGTTTCACCATAAGGTGATAAAATTGTAAAATGCTAGGTCGATGCATGCTCATCTCCTACGAGTAACTTTATGTTACTCACCTCTACGATATGTAAAGTGCTATGGATAAAATTGTAAAATGCTATGGATCAATCAGCACAATTCAAGTCAGATCTTCATTTGAGGATGACGCTGATGTGGCTGAGTAACTTGTATTCGTTGATTCGTATATGTAAAGTGTACGTAAGTGCACTCTTTTCAATGTATTTAACATGTATGAGATGAGGCCGGAGGCCAATGGTATGTATCTCGTTTTCTATGCACTTTTGTTTTCAAAGTTTATTATGAAAATATTGGAAAATGTTAAGTCATTGCTTTATAACTTTCGCATCGAGTGTTGGAATTTCATATCTTTTCTACCCGGACTCAGAATCAGACGATTCTTGAGTCTAATTTTGTTCATTTTTCGTTATCCTTCCAATGGTGTGCATGGCGGCACCCTTTTCAGTGAGAAATGACCATTTTGCCCTTAGTTCATCTCTTTTCGGGTTAGGCATTCTTGCTTCATTTGCTTGGCTCATTTGAGTTCCGTGGCTTCATGGAGAGTCATTTTGGGGCCTTAGGGATGACGTACATCTCTTGAGGTCATTTGGCTTCTTTCGCTTCCGCATTTCGGGTCCGTTATCGGGTCAACTTCCGGTTCATCACTAACGCACCGGGTTGAGAAATCCGGGTCGTTACAGATATGATATGCATGGTCCTATAGAGATGAGTTTCAAATGAATTCATAAATACTTTGACATTGAATCCTAAATACTTACCATCTTATCTACCATTTTCTTTACGCTTTGTCCATGATCGTGTAGGCTTTCAGGTGAACTCGCTTTCTTCCTTTCTTTGAGTTGTTTTCTTGCTTGTTGTAGTCCAAGCTATCTTTGGATGGACTTTGCATTTGGTTCCTTGCAACTTCAAGTTCCTTTGACTCCTTAACTTTCCATAGATGTGATCTTAAGTAATGGAATATTTGTAATGGTCTTTATGATCTTTGGTGCTTCATTGAGGTCATTCTTTGAATGTGAATAATCTATATAATACTCAATGTAAATATTAGTCCTTAAACACCATTAATGGTTTGTTATCATCAAAACAACTAGATTGTCCTTGGATGAAATCCTTAAGGTCAACAATACCTAATTACTTTCCTATTCGGACCCAATGCACTTAGGATATGACGTCTTTATGAGATTCTCCCCCACCTGATTCGCAATGCCTTGTTAGGGTTGGGCCACCCTGCCTACCTAGGTGGGCTACCCGAACTCTCCCGGGGCAGGTGCTTGGACCAGGTGTTTCGCGATCTGATCCCAAAGCTTAAGTTATTAGATGATGCTAACACTCAACTTGTTTATTTACCAGAGAATTAAAAACACCTAACCCATTTATACCAAATTACATTCTCATCTGGATCCGATATAGAACAAGTCCTCCTTGTAACAATAATCCTCTTAAAATTAGTAATAATCTCTTATTTGTCCAATAAATTTAATATTAAATAAGATGCATTTTATATGCATTTTAGTCAAGTGTGAAGGTTTTGATTTTTTAGATGCATATTCTATGTATTTTTAAAAATATTTTTCATTTTGAATTCAAGAAGTTGGATGGTCCAAGAATTGGATGGTCAAGTGTGAAGGTTTTGATTTTTTAGATGCATATTCTATGTATTTTTTAAAATATTTTTCATTTTGAATTCAAGAAGTTGGATGGTCCAAGAATCTAAATTGGCTAATATCTACAAAATCTAGAATTGCTACAACCCCCTTGGAATATTTTAATAAGATGAAAAATGTAATGATATATGTACTAAATTGTATACATTTTTATAATTTTATTTTCCCCTTCCATTTATATTTTATGAAACATGTTCCTATTCAATATAGCACCCTTCAAAAACATACAAAGCCATGTTTTGTAAAATTTTAAAGCCCACCACTTACATACAAATCATAACTTTCATTCAATGTTGAATTTTAAAGGAGAAAAAGAAAATGGAGTCTAATTTATAATTTAATTAAACATTTTCAAGTTTTGAACAAAATGATGTCTAAATAAATAAATAAATAAGTCAAATTCTATTTTTAAATGAATGCGAAGGAAGCTTAACGGGACCAAAAATTGAATTTGAAATTGTTATGACCCGAGTATCTTACGGTCCAATCCAAAAGAATAAAGTATTAAATGATACTAGCACTCTATTCCTATATATATATAAAATATTACTTTTCCTTTAAATGTGAGGACAAAACTTGCTGTAATGATTTATTTATATATATTTCTTAAATTAAAAATAATAAATTTAAGGTATAGTCCCTCCCTCCCTCCCAAAGCGCCAAAACCCTAACCCATTTCCTCCTCGTTCCCCCCGTTTCAATACACACTCATAAGCCCTAGAAAGCAGCATTTGTCCCAAAAACCCTAAACCCATTTGCTCCTCGTTCTCCAGCTCAAAACACACTCATAAACCCTACAAAGCAGCAGCGAGAGATGTCAGACCTCCCGGTGGAGGTAACCGCTGACATTCTATCGAGATTGCCGGTAAAACCCCTTCTGCATTTCAGGTGTGTATCAAAACCATGGCGTGCTCTGATCGACAGCCCACATTTCATCAATTTGCATCTCAATCGATCTATTGAAACCAATTCCAATCTCAGCCTCATATTTAGTGATGGTTCTCTGTACTCCATCGACTTCGACACACTCGACCGTGCCGTGATGCTCGACCACCCCGTGATGCTCGACCACCCCTTGAAGCCCAATGGGTGTAGAACTGGAGTAGTGGGCTCCTGCAACGGCTTGCTCTGTTTATCCAACAAGGACAAGGACCAAATGGTCTTGTGGAACTTTTCGACCCGAAAACACCACAAGTTACCGGTCGCACCAATAATCGAGTTCCCGCGCGGATTAGGGTTTTGGCCGTCTATAGCTTATGGGTTTGCTTATGATTCTGTCCGTGATGACTACAAGTTGGTGAGGATTGTACAGTACTGTAATGGCAAAAATGATGGTTCAGTTTATTCTGAAGTTAGGGTTTAGACTCTGAAATCGAATTCTTGGCGAAGGATTCAAGATTTCCCTTATTACCTCCCATACAACCCATTCAAGCAAGAGAATGCTGTGCTTGTTAGTGGGGCTTTGCACTGGGTTGTTTGTGGAGGACCCAACTTGGGTAAAGCAAATTTGATTGCTGCTTTTGATGTTGGGGTTGAGGAATACCGGTTGTTTCCACAGCCTGACTATTTGGATGATAAGGATTTTGGTATGAGTGTGGGGTCATTAGGAGGATGCCTTTGCATAAATTGCAATTATGCTAGAGACCGAGTTGATGTATGGGTGATGAAAGAGTATGGGGTAAAGGAATCTTGGTCTAAATTGTTTTCTGTTGAGCAGCCAAGTGTAATTTTTGAATTTCTTGATGTGAGGCCTCTAGCATATTCAAAGACTGGTGGGGAAGTACTTCTGGACCAGGACAATGCAAAGCTTTTCTGGTTTGACTTGAGAACGAAAACAGTCAAGAATGTTAGTATTCCTTGTTGGCCGGATTTCGATGAAGATCTAATTTGTGTGGGAAGTCTAGTTCCACTCCACAGTAATGGTGGATGAGATGGAAAAACCAGCAAGCACAAGAGAAGGTGAGAGCAAGAAGAAAAGAAAGGAGAGGTAATCCCAAATTAATCTTTTTGTATTCTTTTTGCTTTGCCTGTATTATGTCACTCGACGTGTTTAGTTATAGAATTTTTTTATCATTTAAATGACATGATCAGACATATTACTGGCCATTAGAATTGTTAGCTGTACTATCTGTGGATTGTGGAAATATAATTAATCTAATTACATTGCAACTGCTAAAGCTGGTATTTAATTCTCATCCTCTAGTAGTAAATTTATCTGGAGCCTAGAATTATATTGCCTTCGTTTCTGTATAATAATTTCACCTTATATATTTGTTACGTTTTATATTTGATTCCCTTTAAGATGACTTCCTGTCAAGGTTTAAGAAACTTGAAGAACAAACTTAGGAGAGAAAAGGTGGGTCATTAGATTTTGGCAGCATTTTATAATTAGTACCCGATATCTTTATCACTATTTTTTCCTGGGCAATTAGTCCCTCGTATCTTTGTCTTTAAACTTGTGTATATTGGCTACTTGAAGTCTAATGGTGTTGTGTCTTATAGGAGATATTCTACTTAGTATGGGAACAATGATGGGATTGAGTAATTAATGCTATAGGGATGGACATATGAGAAGAACAATTTAATACAATGTTACTTATAAAACCTAATCGATCATGCTGCTCGTCTTAAATATCTAATATGCAAAATTGTGTTACTATTAGGATTGATGCTGGACCAGGGCAGTAGTTTGGAATGTTATAAAGTTTGCGGGTGGACAGAAAGAAAGAAGATTTAAGGATTTCTTCATACGTAGTAATATATTATATGCTTTTTCACTTATAAAAAAAATTATATTATGTGCTTTTTTCGTAAAGACAAGTTATATTGTCAAAAATATATCCATTTTGTTTTTTTTCTTTTTGGTATTAACAGCTACGGGCTTGCTTGGTTCTGTTTTCTGAAAACAGTTCTCAATAACTCAAAAAATTGGCCTTTTTATAACTAAGCAGAGCTTTTGTACATTCAGTTATCTGAAAACAGATAGCTGTTCTCAGAAAAATGAACCAAGCAGGCCCTATGTTTACTATAGTTTTGAGATTTGGCACCTTATGTAGTTGAATATTTTCATGTTTATTTATATATTGCAGCTTCTTAAGTTTGTTCAATTTTTCATCCATCTGATATGCCAATGATATTTGATTTAATGAGGGTGTGAACGAATTGTTAAGAGAGTAAAAGGGCATTGTTTATATCAGAATTACTTTTTTATGGGATAAATGAAGGTTGGTCATTATTTCGTGTCCCTTAAATTTATTCTTACTGGGCTTTATGATGTGAATGTGAATATTCCTTTTTTGGATTGGCGAACTGTCGATAATGTGTCTTTGGTTATGAATTCAATACTTTTGACTTCGCCCAAACAGGACTTTTTAGCAGACATCATCTTCAAATTTTTAGTTGATGTCTTTGACATCCAAATATATCGAATTTATGAATATCAAATGATTTTGTTTCATTTTTTTTTTTTTTGGTTCTTATGAAATTTGAATTATCTTTGTACCTTTAATGGTTAAATGATAATAAACTAGTAATATTTCATATTCTTTTGCCCATATTTTTGTGTAACAACAGCCAAAAGTACAGCTATAATATTCTTCTGAATTCTTTTGCCCGAATTCCAGAATATCTATTGCAATGGAACCTGGATCGATTTAGGAGGTGCTAGTGTTGACATGGATTTAAATTTGAAACTCTATCTAAAAGCAAGATGAGCCAGAGTCACCTTGCTGTATACTTATTCTTGTTATATTACGAAGGATGCTCCTGTGAGGTACTTTATATTTACCTGCTTGGATTAGATTAGTACAATGTATTGCTCTCTATTTCATTCCTCCTGCTCTTTTATTAAATGTAATTATAGAGGAAGGAAACTTGGAGGAAAGTGTGATCTTGGCATCGTGACTGCTTTATTATGTTGATTCTTCCTAAAGTTAAATGATGACTTGTTGATTCTTATCTGTTTAATCGTTGCATAATTAATCGCACTGGTTCTTAGCTGTATTTGTTCCATTCTAACATGTTATTGGTTTGAGGAAATGCATTTTTATCTAATTTTGTTAAAATGAAATAATTAGTTAAGTGTACTCTAAATTATAGAAGGCAATCTCAAATTGTAAATAGCAACTGTTATATTGTTTTCATATAATTAGGTTCTATTATTGAAAGAATGTTTAGTTGTTATTTTCCAACATGTTATTATTGACACCATACTCTTCTTATAGCTGATATTAATATGCCAGGTGTCATTAATTGAAAGTAAAAGTGAAAGTATCAAAAAACTGGTCTCACCCATTTTTTTAATGGATTCAAACCCTCTATATCGCTTCCTCTATCGCCTTTGTCTCACTTAGTCACTTGACTCCTCTGTCCAAGTTGGGAAAGTGAAATACTTCTGCAAAACCTGATGTGGGATATTATTAGGTAGAACATTTTAACTGTTTTGGCGGATTTCTTCTATTAAACGATTGGCCATTTGCTCTTTGTAACCTCTCGATCATCATCATGTGAACTGGGTGTTCATGGACTGTGTTTTGGCGTAATATGGGTCTTTCAGCATTTGTTATGATATCACGGCTTTAGTTAATGGAAACACCTATTCAGAAATTGATCTAATAGGGATTAGAACCATTTAAAAATTAGTCATAAGGTAAGATTTGAATTCATTTGGAAGTGGTTTGGACTGATCTGGACTTGGATCTTTTCAGAAATGGGTTGTTAGCCTTCAGGCTATTAGTTCTGGAACAGTTTTGGTCCATTATGAAATGGCTTTTAGGAGCGAGATAAGCTGGTGTTAATTAGCCTTCCTCAGGCTATTATTGTTATATAGTGAAATTATGCTCCTTAAACTACCACTAGGCTTATACAGATATGCTCTTATCTCTTAAAATATAATTCGCAGAGGAATGTGAACTTTAAATCTTGAAGGCAACACTGAAGATACAAAAACATCTGAGTGTGATCTTGGTATTATGTCTGCTTTATTATCTCCATTTTCCTGAAGTAAAATGACATTCTCTCTCTTTTCTGTTTGATTGCCTCTCTCTCATAATTGACAGCACTGACTTATGAGGTAGATGTCAATTTGATCTCATGTGATTTCCGTGCACCCTTGCACGTATCATACGTGCAACTGTTTATTTCATATAACTTGTTATTGGTGTAGGGTAATGCTTATCTTAATTTGTTAAGATATAATGAATGATTAATCATGCTTCAGATTTTAGCAGCCAATTTTTTAACTGTGAATGATGTCTTTGTCAGCAATTGTTTGTAATGGCTTTTGGAGAATTTAGGTTCTGTTACCTAGGCATATTTACCTCTTAGCACCGAGTTTGTTGCATTTGACATATATTACTTGCATCTGGTTGGTGATTTTCAATGGCAAAATTAATTTTGAATTTCATACTGCTACTTCTAGACTTATACAGCATGTTTTATTATTTAATGGTTGATTTCTATTCATTTGGTGGGTGGTGGTGGTGAGAGAACAGATGGTATGCTCCTCTCTCTCTTACAATGTAATTTACAGAGGAATGTGAACTTTAATGTAATTTACAGAGGGATGTGAACTTTAAATCTAGAAGGTAGAACTGAACATACAAAAACACAATGTGTGATCTTGGAATTATGTCTGCTTTATTATCTCCATTATTCTTTTCTGTTTGATTGTCTCATTCTCATAATTAACAGCACTGCTTTATGAGGTAGATGTCAATTTGATCTCATTTGATTTCTATGCACCCTTGCAATACGAGCAGCTATTTAGTCCATATGACTTGTTATTGGTTTAGGGTAATGCATTCTTATCATAATTTGTTAACATATAATGAATGAGTAATCGTGCTTCAGATTTTAGCAACCAATTTTTTTACTGTAATAGTTTTTGAATGATTTAGGTTCTGTTACCTTAGCGCATTTTAACCTTTTATCACGGAGTTTGTTCCATTTGAGACAGGTCACTTGCTTCTGTGGGTGATTTCCAATGGCAAAATTAATTTTGAATTTCGTATCTTTGTAAATCATATTCTTTATTGTTTCTGCTGCATTGACCGGCTTTGGGGTATTTTGAATTCTTAATTCTATTTAATTAAACAAAAACAAGTAATATATATTATTCAATATTAGGCGAAGAGTGAAGAAACTTCTGAAATATGTAATGGAGAGATGCCATACATTGTTGTTATTAAATCTCCCTACGAGCCAAAATACGTATTTCTACTTGGAGTGACATAATAGTATAGAAATATAGAAGGGAATATTTAGATTACGCATTAGGAAAAGAACGTGAAGAAAAGTACCGGAGAACTCACATAGATTCTTTCACGTCTCTTCATGAAAAGTAATTATTCATTGAAGTGTCAAATGGCTATTCATCAGTTTAATATTTAATATCCTATTTTAGTTCTTTCGAAAGAACGTTTATAAATATGACCTTTTGTGCATATTCTTTTAGTAAATATGAATAGTAAATTTTTCTCATAAAAATTCTATAGAGAAAGGAAGTTTTAAAAACTTATTTTAATAAAAACCTAACACAATGCAGCACATTCCCAACCATATTTTACATGAAGTAAATGAAAATTCCACGGAACTAAATTCCACTCAACTCCTTCTTGGAGAGGTTGATCCATCCGTACTTCACATGTTTCTGATTATATATCCTAAATTGGTGAGCCGAGATCAAATGGAAACACTAGTAAACTGGGGAAATCCCTTTCCTGCATTCTTGAGAGAATGGGAAGTCCAGTTTCCTGATTTTGACCTCCAGCTGGTACTGTGTAGGGTGTAGCAAAGGCAACAGTAGCAATAAGCACAGCAACAATGGAGCAATTCTCACAAGTTAGCTTCACCCATTCTCTTCCTATATGCAGAATGGAGTTCCCTCCATTGTCAGTCTTTCTTATCAGCCTTTTCATTGGAATTTCCATTTTCTCTACAAGATTGAAAATTTGCATTGTCAGTCTTTTTACGATCTTGTGAATGCACCAATCTTCTTGTATTTCAAATTCAACTCCCACTTGTAAGCCTACCATTATAGTTTTGAACTTTCATCAACTCTCTTTCTAGAACACCTCCCTCTCTCTTATCTTTCAAAAAAAAAAAACAACTCTCTCTGTCTCTCTCTTTCTTAATATATATATATATTGTATATATTCTCTGTAAAATTTGAGATTGGTAGCTTCTATAACAGTTGTGCCTAAGCCATCTTTGTAGAGTTTTTTTTGTAAAACAGATCTCTCTGGTGTGTTTTTTTTTTTTCTTCGAACAAGTAAAACAGAGATCTTTGTTTATTACTGTCGATGGAGTGAAACATATCATCTGAGGTTACTTTACCTTCCCATCATTTCTGGGGTTTCCTTTCTATTTATTTGAGTTTCACAGAACTCAATGTTTGTAGTTCTTTTTATTTATTATTATTATAATTATTATTTTTATGTAAATGGTATTTTAGATTTTGCATTTGTGCTTTGTTTTTCTTTCTTACATGGGAGAAACGGTAGTCTACCACAATTCATGGATATCTCTCTCCATATAGAATGGTATCCCCGTGGATGGAGCTAAAAGATAGCGATCCATATGGTATGTAGCATAATAGATCAGTTACTAATTTAGGAAGTAGTAGCTTGATGTAATTGGATCATGTGCAGCATAATATGTAAACTAGTGATTGCATCTAGTTAAATTAGGGAGCTGAAGGACAAAGAGAAGTGACGATGGCATACACAGATGTTTTTTTTTTTTTTTTCTAGTTGGTATTCACGCACACTACTTTCACTGAGGTTCGAATCACTGACATTTTTTTGGAAAGTAGGGGCCTTGTACCGCTAGGCCATAGGCCTGTTGGTGCATACACATGTTTGTTAGCTAGTGGCCTAATTGAGAGCCAAATCTGAATTAGTTTCGCTCAAACTTGTAATTCAGTAGTATCTTCTTAATTAAAATTGAGGGGACAAGTTCAAGCTTAGTAGAACTCAAGTTGAGTTCATCTTAATTTTTTCATTAGGGCAATTTCTTGGGTTGAGATGCTAAACTTCCTCACCTCAGCGCAACTTAAACTTTGAATTCTAAAATATAAATACTATTATATATATATATATATATATATATATATATATATATATAATGAATTTAAATTTATTCTTAGTTTTTTTTTATTGGTTTAATGTGAGGGAGTTATTTAACCATAAACTAATCCAAAATTTTTTAGTTTGATTTCTCTAACCTGAACTTACTTGATCGAGCTGGGTCGGGTTTAGGTTGAGACTATTATAATGTTGGTTGTGCCTCAACTAACGTATTTCACCCAACCATCCCTACTGGATCTGTTACCGGGAGTATCCTGAAAAAAGGAATTTTTCCTCTTCCTAACCATTTCGGGTTAAGAAGACGTGAAATGTGAAAGCGTTTTTCTTTCTATAAGAATGTTCTGAGGTATGAAGTGGGATCTATGTGTCTATATCGACCCTGTTCATGGATTAAAGAAAATGTGTGAAAGCTCTATTTGCCAGTGCCATTCTATGAATCTCTCTTCCTTTATGCTAATGGCCTAATTGAGTCTAATCACTAAGACAAAACTGGTACATGCTTAATTTGGCAACGACAAGAAAATACTAGTAGTTGAATTCTTTTGGAAGGAAATTATTGTCGGACTTAGGCCCGTCAAAGATCTGTCAGATTGATAACCTGATTTGTTAAGATTTATAAATTTTCAAAAAATTTCAAAATATAAATTAGATAAAGTGAGAGAAAGAGTGAGAAGACCAAAAATATGAAAAAGATAAGAGAACAAAGTTCAAAATTTTGATCCTTAAGTGGAAAAATAATAAAGTGGAAAAATTCAGTAAAGGGAAGAAAATAGTTTTTTTTTTTTTCTTCCTTTCCTTTTTTTTTTTTTAGTATAAATGAATGCAATTGGAAATATAATGAGAATTGGAAGAGAAATGCCAACGAAAGTAAAAAAAAAA